TGAAGCCACAGATACTCATCGATCACATACTCTGTGTCCTGGAACATTAGTCTGTGATAAGCTCCATGATTGATCTCCCAAGGCTTACACTAAAGGGGAGAAACATTGTCAGGCAACAAATAGCTATAAACATAAATAATTATGACATATAAAATGACCTAATGGGGAGAACAAGGAACTTTGACAAAGAACACAGTGCTACCTGCTTACACGTGGTATCAAGGAAGAGCTCTGCAATGGAGCAAGTTCATCTGTTGAGTGGTATTGGGAGGTGAGACCTTTTGTTAGGTAACTCGTTCTTGAGGGTAGAGGCCTCGTGAATGGCATTACTACCTTATGAAAAGGCCCCCCTTGGATCTTTTGCTTTCTTTCCTCTGAAAGAGGATGCAATAAGAAGGCAGCATTCTGCAACTTGGAAGACAGCCCTCATCAGAATTGGACCATGCTGGCATCCAGATCTTGGACTTCCCATCCTCTAGAATTCTTAAAAGAATTCTGTTGTTTATAAGCAACCCAGTCCAGGGTATTTTGTTACACAGCTTGAACTGACTAAGACAAGCTCTGAGAGGATGATAATTGAGAAGAAACCTAACTATAAGAAGTAGCTAGTCATTTAAAGAGATTTATAATATAACAATAAATTATGCAAGGATCTACAGGTAAGGGATATCTTGGGATGCGCCTTGGGAACTGAAATAAAATTCCTGTGACAACTGTGTAGAGCTGGAGAGACAGGCAGGGGCCAGACTTACAAGTTTCTCAGTCTAAGACAAAGCATTTAGATTTTTTTCTAAGTGCAATGGAAACCACTGGAGAGTTTTAATCTGGAAAATGTCATTATCTAGATTTCATTTTAAAAGATCACTCCATCAAATCACAGGTAGATTGGAGGGAGAAATAAAAACAACCATGGAGAGGTCAAAGATAAGAAATCATGGCACCTTAGTCTAAGCTATTGTCAACAGAAAAGGAGATAAATGGATGGATTTAAAATATTTTTGTGAATAAAATCAGTAAGACTAGCAAAGAACTAGAGGCAGAGAGTACATGAGAGCAGGAATCAGTGAGAACCTACTCTAGTTTTCCCAACTAGAAGCTCATTTTCTGAGTTGCAAAAAAAAAAAATAGGGAAAAATGGTTTTATGGTGAATATAGGTTTGATGCATTATATCTGAGATGATTGTGATACATTCAACGGACATGTCAAATGAACTCCAGAAAATGTAGACTGGAAATATAAAGTCCGTTGTTATTAACTCTCCTAATAAGAGCAGACAAAGATAAGAACACAGATGAATCCCAGAAGGATTTGTCGAGGTCAGGGGTGTGAGCAAAGAAAGACTTTAGGAAGGCCGATCCAATGAAGAGGAAAATTAGGAAAGAGCGATGTGGGAAGTCAAGAGAGGAGAGCATTTCAAGAAGAACCAAATATTGATATTTTGAATACTTTTTTAGAGACTGAATAAGAACAGAAAAGTAATGAGTTTGGCTTCAGGGAGATCTTGGCAACATTGAGAAAAGCAATTTCAGCGAATCCATAGAGAAGAAATGAGATCAGAACAGGTTAAAATGACTAGAAGATGACATACTAAAAATAATTTTTATGGATGATACTTTCTGGAAGCTTGGCAGTGAACAGCAAACTGAGAATCAGAGCAGCAGGAGAGACACAGTCGGTAGTTAAGGAACACTCTTGTTTATTTGTTTGTTTGTTTTTTAAGATGACAACTATTAGAGCATGCTTTTGCTGATGGAAACAGTCTAGACCTGGTGAGAGGTGGGGTAGTTGTAAACACAGGAAAGGAAAGAATATCAAGTCCTTGATAAGAAGATGGGGGAAGAGATCCAAGATCTTATGAAGGGTCTACATACAGAGAAGAGGAGCAACAAACTAATAAAAATTAAAAAAACTTGGATTAAAAAATCATACGTACAATGAAAATTATCTATTATCCAACTAGCCATTCTGTAAAGAGAAAAATTGAGGGACAGGGAGTAAAAGGTAGTTATATATATATGTTGTATTCTTTAGAACAAAATTCTGGGCTTTCAATTTTCCTAAATAAAACAACTAACTTCATTTGAGCTATCACTGAGCCATCTTCTGGCCAATACTGTAGTACATCACGGTGGGCACCGAGGACACCCACAATGCTATCGTTTTTCTCACACTTCCCTCATCCATTGCTGCCATATTGGACAGACACCAAATGGGGAAGGCAACTGATAGAAGAACTATTTTTCCTCTCTCCATAACCTCCAAATCCAATCTTTTCCCATATTTTCTTTTAATCCCCTTGCATTCATCAATAACACTGAGATTACTCTTTTTCACAGTGTCTTTTTTTAAAAAATAGGCTTTCATATTTTATGCAGGCTGACGTCAAACTCTTGGACCCATGGGATTGTCCTGCCTCAGCCTCCCAAGTAGCTGGGACTATAGTCATGCACAATCTCTTCTCTTTTTATTTAACTGTTTTTAAAATTTGTGATTTTCTTTGTGCTCAGACATCTTCTATTCCTTTTCTACACATCAATCTGCCATCATAGCTTTTATTATTATCTACATATGCCAATGACTCATAAACCTTACCTCCTGCCCATTCTTCTTCCTAACTTCCAACTCAGATATTGTTGTTGAATATCTCCAATTGAGGGCCACCTCAAACATGATAGTTCTGTAATTAAATTCATCACCTCCCCTCTATTTCCAAATCACTCCTTTTCGATATTAATCAGTTTTGCAAGGTAGAGGTCTGGTTTATTCAGTCTCCCCACCCCCACTCCCAACTCATGTCCAAAATCCAATCAATAACCATATTCTGTCAATTTGTTTAATTCAGTCTAATGTCTACCACCCACATTACTCTTGGTTCAGGTCACCTCTCTTATTCACAAAATAGAATTAAAATCAATCAACAGACAGATAGCATCTATTTCTTCCTTGCTTTTTCAACTGTGATGTCCCCCACTCTCTGGCTCAAATCAGTCTGACCGTGGTTTCCCGACTATTTCTTGCTTCTATGGCTAGAAGAGCTTCTTAAATTTCTTAAGTTGTTTCTATGCCTTCAATACTACTCCAGGACTGTGTGGTATCCCCTCCACACAGCAGTCAGGTATAATATATTCAGCTTAAACAGTCAATGTCCTCCAAACTCCCCTCATGACAAAACACTCCGGGTACAACCTGGCTCCCAGGAATCTGCAAGGTCTAGCTCTTGCCTGCCTCACAGGCCACATATCTTACTCGGCTCCCCCAATACAGTTTGTATGCTGCTGTGCTTTCTGTCTAGAAGACTCTCACTCACCTCGTCACCACCCCCTGCACACCTTTTTAAGTTAGATAACTCCTGCACATGTCAGTTTAGTGCCCACCTCTTCCAGGAAACCACTTATTTAACCCCTTTCCAGTCTCTCCCATTCATGACTACACAGAGCTGGTATAAGGAATACACTAGCTGGGAAGGTTTCCAAGGGCTAAATCTATAAGTGGAACTAAAATTCATATCACTGGGAACCTAAATGAAGTAAAGAAAACATGCTAGCTAAAATTCTTATTTAGCAGACTTTCTTTGAGGAGAGTACCACATGAGATGGCAGTGTTGGGGACACAATGGGTAACATCTGGCATGCTAAGCAACATTCTAAGAAGGATGGTTTCTGTTAATGGTAGGCTTTAGGTTTGCTGACTGGGGAGTGCAATTTTGACTTATTTATTTGACTTAACAGATGAAAACACTGTGATTTAGAGAGAGATGCCAAAGGTCAACTATATCGAGAATGGCTTTGAAAGCAGATAGTCCAATTCCAATTCCAGCATTCACGTGATGTTATGGTTTAGATATGAGGTGTCCTCCAAAAACTCATGGATGAGACGATGCAAGAACATTCGAAAGTGAAATGACTGGATTCTGAAAGCCTTAACCCAATCAATGAATTAATCCCCTGACTGGAATAATTCAGTGGTAATTGCAGGTAGGTAGAATGTGGCTGGAGGAGGGGGGTTTCTAGGGGCATGCCTTTGGGGTATATATTTAGTGACCTGATATTAGAGTCTCTTTCTCTCTCTCTCTCTCTCTCTCTCTCTCTCTCTCTCTCTCTCTCTCTCT